GTTAAACACAAAGGAGACAAATTGAATTACAACTCTTCTCACAGCTCAGAAGCTGCAGTTCTGCACGTTTCAGTGCATATTGAGTAAATGCCCCTGTTGTCTCCTCAACTTGAGGAATGGGACTGTCAGCCCTCTTCACCTGTCCACAACTAACCTCAAGGATATTATGATATTAAGTAGAAAGGAGATGAATTTTTTCTTTCTGAGAAACTGATTGCTTGCACATTGAACACACCCAGCACCAGTGCAGGCACCATGGTGATGCCACACTTATCAAACCCCTGACTTCCATGGCTCTTCTGCCAGGGAACACCTCCAGTCATCCTCTGGTAATGATCATATTCACCACCTGGAACCACAGGTTATATGACCAAGATCGGTTCAAATTTGTAGTTATAATAATGTCAGCTTGTTTATTGGATTAGATATTTACTAGCTTTATAGAGGGAAGGTGTAAATAAAAAATTTCAAGTAAACTGCCCACTGACTTCTGAAAATGGTTGGAATTGGAGAAGAAACACAAGAAAATCCCGCAGCCTTCAAAGCCTTGTAACGTGATTATTTTTGGAAACTACACGTGAATAGAAGTTGTTGTTTTATTCTAAAACCCAGGGCAACATTAATTTATCACAAATACCAATGTCACATCAGTGCTTTCTAGCAGCTGAGTCATCAAGCAGCTATACTTTCCAGAACAAACCAATTTATACTCTTAACTCAAGTGTTACACAAAGAATGTATCCCCAGGCATAGAGTCTCTATGGACATTTCGGGAAAGCATTTCTCTAAAACAGGAAAAAACATTCTAATATCAGGAAATGCTTGTAAAGATGAGGCTTCTCATAATAAGCAAAACAGGGGAACTCACTGTGAACAAAGTAGGGTGATCATCAGTCACCCAAGTGAGCATCAGGCATGACACAGCTCATGCCAGAAAGCAGCCCAAGGAATCCCTGCAACAACTCAGGAGCAGGACTAGAAGAAACCACTCTTGTAGTCCACTTAAAAAAAAATGCTAAAGGTCCTGGATGGAGCTGAATAAGAGCCCCTGGTTGGAGGGTGTGAGTGAGGTCCCAGCTGATGCTGGTCAGGGCAATCCAAGCCTGTGAGGGCCCCCATGGCCATCACCTGCAGCTATCTGCATTTTTAATCCTGCACACATGGGCACAAGGGCACGCAGAGTAAGGTGCATGTGGGAATAATTAAAACAGAAGCTGAATTCCTAAACCATTTACATGAGCTGTGCAGTGCTTTGAAGTGGCAACCACAATCAATTTTGTTGCTGCAAAATATCTGTTTCCACAAAGTTCAGCATATTCACTTTATACAAAGGCACCTGATCAGACACGGACATCTCCTCTCAACAAAAGCAGCCAGGGCTGGCAACATTCCTTGCAGGATACTGGGTGAGGAGCAATATGATTCAGCACCCAGACAGTGCCAGAGCAGAGCTCTCTGACAAAGATGAATTACTTCAGCTTCAAGACTGAAACTATCCCTGGAGACCTCCTCTCTTTCTCTGTTTGCATTACAATCCTTCATCTATTTCTCATTCCTTCTCCTTCCAAGCCATGCCTGTGCCTCCTGCCCTCCCTTTGACCTACACCCACCACTTGTTTTCCTCTCTGAAGGCCACTGTGACATAGCTGGATGTACCATGTGCTATCACCGTGCTTAACCACTGACGCCAGCTCCCATAAGACAAAGGGAAACTTCGCAAAATTTGGGATATTTCTCTTCTGAAATGAGCCCACGGTCATTCAAAAGTCATGGAAGCTGTTCAACCTAATTTTAATGGCTACAAGGGAAAATAATAGGAAATGGCTGCTTTGCTGGTGGTGGTGCTGATGGTGAGGTTTTTTTTCCCCATTTTACATAACAGAGTTGGCTTCTGGTACATGTAATTATTTCTATTTCCAGCCTGCCCAGTACAAGGTGATACAGCTAAACAAGATTACTTGCAGATGGTTTCCAAACTGCAATGCTAAATGGAGCTAACTTACTAATGGAAATTATCAAAGCTGCTTGGAACCCCCAGAATGCTGGAGGAATTTTAATATGGCTGCACAGAGATTTGTAGAGTTGACAGGTGCCTCCAAGGAATTGAGAGTCTCCTGTGAGTTGCCAGGGGATCCAAAGGAAGCTCAGTACTTCACACACCTTACAAACACACTTGCTGCAACTGTGGCCAAGCATTGATTTTTACCACGTTGTCTCAGAAACAGCTGTACCAGAGGGACATGCAAGGCCTTATACAGAGTGCCAACAGATGCTGTAAAACATTTTAGTGAAGAATCTTCTCATTTTTGAAGTGTACTGGAAAATACATACACAGAGCTGGTGCTGGGATGCTTTTAATCAAGAATCCCTGTTCACATTTGGGTTTTCTTCTTGCCAGTGTATCAGTTGCCATTTCTATCTAAAAGCTTCTGAAAATTGTTTAGCAGAATTTGAGGACTAAAAGAAGGATGGTTAAAGGCATCTCCACAGCCCAGGCCAGGACTGGGCTCTAATCCAATACATTTTGGCAGAAGTGGGCATTTGTGCAGCTGAGAAATGATTTCCTACCAGCCAGTTCTTCAGTTCAGACATGTAGGTAGCCTCACAGGACAACAGAAAATTAACTTTACTACTCTGAAAAGTTAGACAAGGCATCTTCAGAAAATAAGGAGTTTTCGCTAAATCCTTACCTGAGCAGGTTCCCTTAACAGCAGTCTGTGAAGAATGACAACCCAAACCTCTGCAGCAACTCCTATCTTGCAGTGCAAGGCATCTGCGTGCTAGATGTCCTGCTTGGACAAAAATTAAGCACTCCAAAATTCTGTCTCAACTAGCTGTTGGTGCTCCATCTTCCCTTCTGTGATACCAAAGTTCAAGCTCTTCTTTCTCCCAACAGAGCACAGTGGGGTTATATACATTAACTGTAAGAAACAGAGGCATGATAACAGGGTTTGAGAAAGCCCAGGAAAGTCTGATTCATGAAGCTCAATTGTAAATGCATCCCACCAATCTTCACAGCTGCTTTTAGGTAAATAGGAATTCTCCATTTCTTACATCTAGATATATTATGTTTATTACCTTGGTATTTTGCCCTTAGCTAAATCCCCTAATGTACATATTACTAACAGAGCTAATTAGAATGAGAATGAGTTTAGAGCAAGAAGAAATTGAAATTATCTGACAGCACTGAAAACAGGAATAGTTTGTGTGCTATAAAACTTGAGAACTGCACTTCAGGGTGTGAATATTTCCACAAGAATGCAATTACATTGATGAAAGCTGATCAGTAAAATAGCCTGAATAATTTGTGTATGTATAGGGAAGGGAGTTCAGAAATAGCTGACTAGAGCAGGAATGCATATTACAGGAAGCAATTAGAAAAAGTTCTTTTTTCCCCACTTTTTTATTTTAGGGTTTGATACTGAGCTACAGATTCTTGCTGCTATGAAGTATGAAGAATGCACAGGGAATCCAAGACTGAGTTTTTAAATACTAGTTGATGCAACCAAAAGAAAAAGAGACTAGTGGACAAATCATAGCATAGTGTGATACACTTTGTCTTCCCTAATTCTCCTATGATTTGGCAACACTATAATGTCAGCATATTTCATGACTCAAAAAATAAAAACCAAAAGATTTTGTCATTGCTGCTCCTGCCAGGACACACATGCCTCCCGCTCATCCCTAGATATCAGCACACTCCAGCCCTGCTCAGGCAGCTCATAGCAAGCACTGGTACACATGATCCCCACGATGCATGCAAAGGGCAGAAGCCAAAGTTGCAGAGAAAACATAGACCAGCTTTTCAAGGATAAGCCTCACACAGGAAGTATCTTGGCATGGTGTGGAGAGGGGTTTGGGGACAAAATCCTTGTGCCAATGCCTTCCTTTAGAATCATGAATAGGTTAACTAATTAATAATGAGGCTAATTTTTTACATTTAAAAATTAACAATACTTATCTATTTATTTTTTAATTCATGCAATTTAAAGTGTTTTAAAAGATAAGTAGCTACCATGTGGTCAATAATTCATCAGAAAATTCATATGAATTAGGGGACAACATTGCATCAAAAGCCAACAACTCTGGTTTTCAAAATATCAGTCAAGGAAAACTCAGTGAAAGGGAGATGAACTAGAATTACCCAAAGCAATGTGGTAGGCTGACAGCAAGGTCAGGCATTGAAATAAAATATTCCAGTATGCAGTCCAATACACATGTCTACCAGATGCTATTTCTACTTCATCACGGTTAACTAAGAACACTAGCAGAAGAATTAAAACTAATGAGCATTGTCACCATATTGCAAAGCTCTCATACCTTCTTGGTGATTTCTCATGGGCCGCTCCTCACAGTATTGACCCCTTCGCAGCACAGCCAAGAAGCTCCAACTCACTCCTCACCCAGCTAACCCACTCTTTTGTAGCACTCTTCTTACTGGACACAGCTGTGGCCTATTAAGGGCAGGCCTGTTCCTAATCTTTGGTGATTAGCACTGCTGCAACTCCTCAGGTGTGAGACTACCTTCTGCACTATCTTTATTTTCTTACATTCTATCCCTCCACAAATGAGAGTAAAACAAACAAAATGAAAAAAAATCTTCCCAATTCTAATTGAAGAGGCTGCTCAGAAAGTCTTTGAGTGAGTAATGACATATTCCTTTCCACTACAGAAATTTACCTTGTAAGAATCTGCTTCATCTTCAAAAGCAAGCATGTCCAAATTTGCTTTCACTGATGATATTGAAAATATGGAAATCTTCCTCTAAGCTGAGTGGCATTTAACCACATACACCTGGACCTAAGATCAACAGCTAGGCAGAGGTTCCATGGGGATACACACCACGTCTACAGTATAAATAACACGTGGAGCACAGAAATTGCTATTACTGTTTTTTTCAGAAACTATGTGGAAAAGAAAGAGGATGCAAAATATTTGGGAAAGTGTACTCAAAACAAGACGAAAAAAAAAAAAGAAGGCACTGTTTGAAGCTGCAGAAGTGTACTGAAGGTGAGTTATATTTTATTTTATTTCATTAAAATATATTTTAAAAACATACTGTGTAAAAGAATTAGGATTCTCAATAATTTATTATTTACATTAACAAATTCTGCTTGACTGTTACTCTATAGATAGAAATGAAAAGTCTGCGGAAGGGAGTTGTATCAGCTTCTTCAGGACCAAGCAAGCCTCTTGTCCAAGAAACATGTCCAAAAATGCATTTCTTTCCATTTCAGTCCCTTCAAAATAATATTTGCAAACAGATGGCAAAAAGCTCAATGAAAGGTCATGCTGGTGAGTGTTGAGCACTCACAGTGAGAGCTGGGAATTCAGGGTGCTCTCAAGGGAGACACCCCAAGGAGACATTAACATTGCACTGCTCAACAGTCAAGAGGCTGCAGGGTCCAATCCCTGCTCCCACTGTCCTATCTCTGCTGAAATCCATGGCATTACACAACAAAGAGGCCTGCACGTGACCTCTCCAGGCAGATCTCAGAAAGCTGGACAAACTCCTTGAGACAGGGTGGCAGTGGAGAGACTGTTTTTCCTACCACTATAGGCACACTGCAGCTTATCATTCTTTTTCAGTCCAAACACAACATAAAACTCAGTGTCTTCCTTCCCATCCTCTGGGAAGAAATATGCATAGGGAATTATCTCTCTGATGTAAACATCTGTAAGCACCATTCACAAATGCTGGTCCACATGAAAAGAAAAAATATTATCAAAGTGCCTGCTGCAGCCTTGACCCTTCTTAGTGGAGCAGCTCAGCTTTCCCATCGGCTTTCCAGACTTCTGAAATCATCTGGCTACCCAAACATCATGCACAGGTCATTGCATTGCCAGTTGCTGTCTGCTTTACTATTCCAGGAAAGAGCAGTTGCCCTTCCAGTGATTATACAAAAGCCCATGATTAAAAGAAGTAAAGCTGTCAGCTCGTGTGTTCTGTGTCCTGGAGGCACTCAATGGTATTTCTGACATCTCGTGTAAGGCACCAATCATCCGGTAGCTGAGCAAAAAGTGACCCACGAGACCTCCATTAAGCAACTGCAGAGGGAACTGACAAAGTTCAGCTGGTTTGCTTGTCTTCTTGCTTACAAAGCATAAAAAGTGTGGTCACGCCATCCGAGGAAGTTTCTGGTGATATCCTAAAACGGGAACTCAACTGCAGCACAAGGAGCACGGGTGACTTGCGCCTGCTTCAGCACAAGTTTCTGACAGCTGTGTGAGGGTGGCAATTCTCATAGACATAGCAGAGATTTCCTTGATCCCCAGGAAGCCTCTGCTGCCTTGCTTTCACAGAAAGTGGGTTTGTTGTCAGCAGCAAAGCAGATACCTCCTCACAAGATGTCTCCATAACACACACAGAGGACCACACCTACAAAACCAGCTTTGTGGTGCTCTTGCTGCAGCTTCCCTGCTGTTGGTGTTGTCTGCCCAGCCTCATTCACAGAGATGCAATGCCAGAGATAGCAGAACCTATGGATGAAGAGGTTGGCTGGATGCTGGCTGGCTGCACCCCTGAGCAGCCTCAGTCCAGAATGTCAGTCTCAAATGGGACCAGGTGGTAGTATGTCAAATTGGTGACATAAGCTGTTGGATCATCACTGTCTTCCAGCTCTGAGGTAAAGTCACTAACACTTTCAAACCTAAGGAGAGATGAAAAAAAACCACCAAAAGGCATTAAGTCATTTAGAAAATCAAAGGAATTGGGGAAAAAAGTACTAAGGGAGTGGGAGAAGCACTTGGAGCTGATTTCATCCACACCTCCTTCATCTCCTATACTCATGTGTTTATGACTAAACCATGGGCCAGTGAGAACCATTGTGAATGTAAGCAATTAATCTTGTCACCCCTGACTTTCAAAGCTACTAGTGAGGAAGGAAGGAAGAAAGCAGCGAGTCTTGTAAGAGTGAATCACGCCGTTGAAGTCCACATCTTTCTATTTTGTTCCCACAGCATGTGTCAACAACATATGATGCCTGAATTCTCACATAAAAGTGAAAAGAAACTGCCTTTGTTTCACATCTGAATTTGGACTCTCAGTCTTTCCCTTCACAGGCACCTTCTCTGGGATTAGCTTTTTAATAGGCCAAGTATCTAACATAGGTAGGAAAAAATGACTAGACTGTCCTTCTTCCAGAGTCTAGCTGTACTTCCTACGGTACAAGGTTCAGACTTTGACAATCAAAGGATCTACAAATACAAAAATATTCCCAAATTTACTTTCACTTGTTTTGGTATTTTCCTCCCCACTTCCCAACACCTGTTTCATAACCTGCACTTTTGCAAGAATAACCTACTGTCTCATACCAACTCTCAACAAGAAGGCATTGAGCTGTTAAAACCTACACTTCTCACAGTTACACACATGCCCATTTCAAGAAGGCTTGAATTTCCGCAGTAAGAAACATTATCTTCTTCCTAGATAGCCTAACAGTTTAAGGCAGTCGCTGCAGGCCAAGGACTAAATTTCACCTCAGTTCTAAAGGGGATTTGAAGAACTTTCAAAGTTATTTTTCAAGTTTCAAGTTTCAAACTTTTCAAGTTTCTTTTTCTCAAACTCTCACTTTAATATTTTGAAAGAAATTTCATTCACTATGACAGAGTGAAAAATAAAAGGAAGTAGAAACTGAAAAATTGTACAAGATGGAAAAAGAAATTCTAACCTAGCTCTCACTTTTACATGTGTCTCTAACACCTTTATCAGCCCAGCTGGCCTACTGAAGCTCTCTGAATGGCAGATAAACAGATGAGCTTTAAAATAATTAATATTTAAAACTGCATCTCATCTATACATGAACTAATTAGACTCTTTAGATAAGTCAAACAACTGTGGACATCCCTGTAACCTCATCCTAGAGGGGGACTTAAGAGCTGAGTATTTCAGAGGACCTGAAGAAGGATGGCAGGGCAAACAAACAGATAAGTCTCCCACTCCCATCTCTTCCCAAAACTTTATTTAGAACTATCATGGGTTATAGGATAGCCTGGTCTATACATCCTGCAACGTATGGCCACAGTTCTGTCTTTTTCATACTCCTTCCTTATCCTTCGGATCTCTTTTTTTTCAACTATGAGCGCCAAAATAGAGAACATTTTTTTGAGCAGAAACTCATGGATTTTCTCCTGCAGTGCTGTGGCTTTGCTCTTCACTTTAAATGAAATGAGACTGAACTTTCAATGTTTATTACCCTCATTCCTCTAGTCCCTCCAGGCTGTTTACTTGCCTGCGTGTGTGGGAACGAGTGCACGAGGGAGTTGACTCGGTATCTTGAAAATACTTCACAGATCACGTTGTGTTGTCTTATGGACTGCAAGTGATCCAGAAACAACAGATTATGAAATACCAGAGGGGCAGATAGAGTGAAGAAAGTGGAAGAGGAGTCAAGAAGGCTATTCAGATTCTGCTCTGTTTCTCTTATCAGCATAAAGCCACATTATTACATCTGAAAGGTCCCACAGATTTTGTGGTTCTCCAGCCTCACTGATAGGTTACTACAAGCAGAATGTGAGGAGCAAAGCAGTGGACATCAGATGCTGTGGTTAAGCAGAAAGCTTTTATTGCCACCAAAAATGAAGTGTGCGCACAGCAGTCTGCAAAGCACTGCTCTGGAGTGCTCACACAAAACTAAACACAATAAACCAGGACTGTTTACCACAGTCAGAAGCTGTGTATGACATCAACAGTCAAAACGCTTTTGTGCTGTTACCAACAGCTCTTTCTCTCAAAACAAATTCTGCAACTCTACTGTGGACCTTCAGATTCCTAAATGCCTGAACTGCTGCCCTTATTTTTTTTCCTCTAAGTACCTTGATGGACACACTGTCTTTTGCAAGAGCCTACTTCTTGTGTTGTAAGACAAAATTCTTTATCATTTTAATCTATTTGGTAGTCTTTCACAAGTAGTGTTTTCCTGGGCTCAGTTTTGGGGCCAGTCCTGTTGAATATCTTTATTAATGGTCTGACCGCGGTGATCAAGTGCACCCTCTGTCAGTGTGCAGGGGACACCAAGCTGAGTGGGAGTGCCAATGTGCTGGAGGATAGGAAGGCTTTCCCAGAGGGATCTGGACAGGCTGGATTGATCAGCTGAAGGCACTTGTATGAGCTCCAACAAGACTAAATGCCGGGTCCTGCACTTGTGTCGCAACAAGTGACCCCATGCAGAGTTACAGGTTTGGGGCAGAGCGGCTGTAAAACTGCCTGGCAAAAAATGACTTGGGTGTGCTGGTCAGCAGTGGCTGAACAGGAGCCAGCATGTGCCCAGGTGGCCAAGAATGCCAATGGCATCCTAACCTGTACCAGAAATAGTGGCCATCAGGAGCAGGGCAGGGATTGTCCACCTGTACCCAATACTGGTGAGGCTGCACCTTGATTCCTGTGTCCAGTTCTGGGCCTCTCACAGCAAGAAGGACATTGAGGGGCTGGAGCACGTCCAGAGAAGGGCAACAGAGCTGCTGAGGGGTTTGCAGCACAAGTCTAATGAGAAACACCAGAGGTAGCTGAGGTTTTTTAGCCTGGAGAAGAGGAGGCTCAGGGGAGACCTTATCACTCTCCACAGCTGCCTGAAAGGAGGGTAGCCAGATGTGGGGTTGGATTGTTCTCCAGGTAACAAGTGACAGGGCAAGAAGTAAGGGCCTCAAGTTCTACTGGGGAAAGTTTAGATTAGATATTAGGAAAAATTTCTTGACTGAAAGTGTTATCAAGCATTGGAACAAGCTGCCAGGGAAGGGGTTGAGTCACCTCCACTGGAAGTATTTAAAAGATGCATGTATCACAGAATCAGAGAATGGTTTGTTTTGGAAGGGATCTTGAAGATCACTTAGTTCCAATGCCCCTGCCATGGGCAGGGACACCTTCCACTAGGTCAGTTTACTAAGACCCCATCCATCCTGATTCTGAATGCCTCCAGGGATGGGGAATCCACAACCTCGGGAACTTGTTTCAGTATCTCACAACTCTTATCTAAAGATTTGCTTCCTAACAGCTAATCTAAACCTACTGTCCTTCAGCTTAAGGCCACCCCCCCTTATCCTATCACATGCCCCCATGAAAATTCCCTCTACATCTCTCTTGCAGGCCTCCTTCAGGTACTGGAGTGAATTTGCCAAAAAGACAGCTTATCCAATGCTACAGACTCTGCTGCTGGCCTAGAAGACAGAAGTGGAAACAGTCTTTGCAGAGAAAGGTACCTCTGTAACAAAACCAAACCATGAATTCAAACGCATTTATTTACCACCTTTTTCTTTCAAAAGGACTTTAGACTACAGCCCAAGAACCACACACAAAAGGACTATGCCTTTAGTTATGCCACATGGATGCTGAGCACACTGGCTTCAATATAGTTTACAACAGTGTGGTGTAGTGTCAACTAAAATCAGAGAGAAAATGAAGGAAGCAGAAAAGACTTACTTCAGAACAACAGAGAAAGCAACTGCAATTTGGAAAAGTACTGTGGTTTCTTTTGCAACAAGTATGAGACTTTTCAGCTGATGGATCACTGGGCAGGTAGCTCTGCAGGCTACACAGCTAACCAGTATAGGGAATGAGCACTTCCTGCTGAAGCTTCAAGCAGTTTTTCCCAAAAAATACAGGCTTGCTCTGCAAAATGTCTCATTCAAGTCCATCAGCAGCCAAAACCCAGAAGTCATAAAAAGTTTAATGCAGCTGAAAGGAAAAAATTCCCATCTGAGGATATCAAGTCCACAAGGAATTAACTCTGATTTCAGGGTAGAACACACCATAAATCCAATTTTACTGAAACTGAAAGGGAGCAGCATAGGATTTGAAAGGTTTTAAAGTTTCCTCTCTGGGCTAATAACATACATTTAAACCAACAGTATAGAAAACCTCTGCTTTTGAAAAAGATTCAATTTTTACAAAACAGCTGTGCTACACTGGTTCCATTATCTCCTGGCTATTATGTCTTGGCTATAAAATACAGCTGCATGATGGGAAAATTTAGGGCACCATATCAAACACACATTGGAAATTTATTAACTTCTTGACTTCACATCCTTTGGAAAGTTAAACTAAGTCAGGCTACACCAAATCAGTCTGTTACCCTGGATTCATTTCTTCCACCACAGTTTATGGGAAACTATGCCTACCATTCAGTTTTTGTCACATTAGTATTTTCTGACCTTAACAGTCTCTGACTCCAATGGGATGACAGTTAGATGATTGTAGTTTCTGATCCCAGGCTGGTAAGTTTTTCTTGGGCTGGAGCACATTTTTAAAATCAAAACTAGCTATAAATATTTTTTAAATAATTTTTTTTAAAGAATCAAAGTAAGGCAGGAAAATGCTTTCTTTGGTAATTTTCCTCTATAATTTGTCATTCTCAGTACAAAGAATGATCCACTGTGAATTATAAAAATTTTAATTTCCAGGTATTGGCCTTACAGAATTACCTCTAGTGTGCCATTTCAGCCTCATGATTACAATCTTATAAGCTCAAATGCTGTTAGCAAGGTCAAGGTTCAAAACACTAAGTGATAAGTTAATAAAAACACTTCAAGAAATTACACTCAAGCCAGACATACTCTCCAGCCTCTGAAAAAATGTTGCCAAGCTATAAACCTTATTACAGATTGGCATTTCAAATATGACAAGACAGATCATTGCATTCAAAGATAAAGGCACCATTAGTCTTTCATTATTCTCTTTCCTTCATTCGACTGCTCCAATGAAAAAGTAGGTCAACATTTCTCATCAAAAATATTAAAATGGTTCACTACCTGAAGCTCATTGAAATATCAATCACCTGATACAACAGAAATCTGTAAGAGCATATTTCCATCAATACCCATCTGTGAATACAGTCACTGGCTTAAGACCTACATGTATCACAGAATGGTTGGGGTTAGAAGGGACCTCTGGAGATGATTCACTCCAGCCCTCTGGCAAGGCAGGGTCACCCAGAGCAAGTGACACAGGAACATGTCTAGGTGGGTTTGGAATGCCTCAAGAGAGGGAGACTCCATGAGCTCCCTGGCCAGTCTGTTCCAATGCTCTGCCATCCTCAATGTAAAGAAGTTCTTCCTCGTGTTGAGATGGAACTCCTTGTGCTTTAGTTTATGGCCATAGAAGCCCTCCTGGTCACAGGTTTCTGACCCCAGAATACCTATATGCACTAGGAAGTAGAACTTTCCAATGAAACCAGTCTAACTTGCCTTTTCCCTAAGGATATACACATGTTACACCAAGTCCCAGCTGTGCAGCTGTTGACCTTTGTTCAGTTTTTGACCTTTCAGGGATGCATTCCCCTCTGAGAACAGTGTTTTCCTTTCCAAACACTCTACTATCCTTTGTAGCAGTATATGACATTTGTTAGGCTATTTGAGTTTCCAAGTTTGGGCTCAAACCAGCTCTCATCATAGTCATGAGAGAAAGAAATAATTCTGTTCTCCCTATGCAGCACCCCTATGGCAACCTCAGGTCTTTTTTCATGCACAGAGGATTGATCACTTTGGGGTCAATCATTCTCCCATTTAACCCACTTTAACAGGCAACTGCTCTGAAGTGTTAGCAATCAGGCCCAGTAACCTTTAACCAGTCAGGATGACAGCTGTACCAGTCTTGCTCTTAGGCAGACAACAACATTTTGCTAGGGGGTGGGAAAGCTACAGTGAAGGTGACAGCATTGCTCCTGCTCAAACTCCACTTACAAATGTTCTGCTGAATCTACATCCAGGTGCTTCTCTTTCCCATTAGGTATACTGTGGTCAATGACTATTGTTTCAGTGTTGGCTAAACAGAATCCATTTGATCGCATGATTTCTGTTGGGAGAAGAAAGAAAACAAGATTTAAAAAAAAAACCTGGAAAAGAACTGTGTATCATATGTAATTGACATGGCTATGAACTGATATGTGCACATGACATTGAAAATCAAATCTGCACAGGAAAGCAGGAATGAAGAGTTGATTTCACAGCTTAAATCTGCAAACTGACAATGCACAAGTAATTTTATTCACCTAACCAATTAATGACACAGAGCATCTGAAGCAACTACCACTACCAAATCATAATTGTATTTTTCTTAGACAATCCCAGGCTTAAGAAAAAATAAAAAAGACATAACAAGGGAAATGAAAAGTGACCTTACAAGTTAATTCAACCCCTAAGATGTATAAAGATACACTGCCCTTGATATTGCTTATTTGTTTCTAACTGTGTTAGAAGAGTCCAATACAGAATATCTAAAATTTACACCTAATTCCAGTGAATTACTACCATGGGAAGAATTGATAACTAAAGAACAGTATCTGATGTGAATGAGAAGTTAATCTGCATCTGTGCTCTATGGAAAATCAAAGGAGGCAAGTCACAAGGACTTCTTTCAGTCAAACAATTTTAGATGAAGCCAGGGCCAGCACAAAATAAATGCACTTTTCAAAAAAAAATCAGCACTGACTTAAGTAGGATAACTCTTAATCTGCCTCAAGACACTATGACCTTGTGTTACAGCCTTGCATTTTCAGCACAACAAAAAAAAAATTAGCCTGTGGTACAAAATATGGCAGGCAGAAAACACACCAACAAATTTCACCTATATATACAGTCCAAGCAATGAACAGGAGATGGGGCATGAGAGAGGAGGTAATTTTTTTTTAACATGACATGCTCCTCATTAAGGCAAAGCCAATACTCACTTGGAGACTCATCTTTGACTTTCATTCCATATTTTACTGCAGCTCACTTTAGCAGAATACATTTAGGGGTTGTGAAAGCATTGAACCCCAGCAGAATCACCTTTCACATGACTCATCTTAAGCCATCATTGTGTGATAGTGAATTTATGGTGTACAATAAGATTTCCACCATAAATTCAAATTCAGCTTTCATCTTTGAGGGCAGCCCTTTCTCTCTCTCTTCTCCACCACCTACCACTCTGAGCAGGACCTTTTGGGGAACAGCTTGTTTTTTCAGAGAATACAAAACATTTTTGCCTGCTTTTCCAAGACTGCAAGCCAGGTAGAGAGCTGTACTATGAGTAACAGGAATGTCACTATTTTCCTAGTGTCCTTGACTTGACCTAAGAGTTACAGCATTTCACTGCTGCATGAACTGCTTTACCCATTATCATTTACTGCCATCTACTGACAGTGCTGCCAGACACTGAAACATTTCCATTGTGCAACATCCAGATGAGGCAAATATCAATTAACATCAAATTTCCACCTATGTTCTTAGCATTAATTGCAGCAATCACTTGAATGATGAAATTAATTACCACAAGATGCTTCTGGATAGCTGCATAGGTAGGAGAATCTTCCTCCAGTTAATGAGGTATGACTCGTCACTACCAACAATAATTTAGAATTAAAACATGCTATTATTATTCAGCTGAGATAGTTTTGCTAGTACCAAAGAAAACTGATACCAGCTCCTTGCAATATTATAAACCTTGGAGGACTATGTAGTATTTAACTTCAATTAACTGTAAATAAGCTCTTCTGGTGACACAAAACCAGGAGTTGGCACTAGGTTTTTGTACAGAAATACAAAACCAGGCACACCAGAAGCTCACAGACCTTTTGACAATGGTCAGTAGCAGATGAAGAGGGGAAAGGCTGAAAGAATAGGCAAGGATAGGCTCTTCACTTCACTCACTAGCAATCTGTGGTTTACAACTTCCTATGTCTCCACCTGTGACAGGTTTCAATGCACTTGTCCTCCACTTCCCTGTCAAATTCCCTTTTGAAGTCACTTCTGCTTTCAGTTCCACCATATCCTATAACAGTGAGTTCCACTCCTTAACTGTGCTTTGTATGGAAACAAAACAATATTATAACTTTTCTTTTGTTTGTTTAAAGCCTGTTGTCTGTCAATGATATTCGATAACCTATAGCTCTTGTTTCAGAAGAAGTACAGGGTAATTGACCTCCTTTATTCACAGCTTTGTAGACTTCCATCATACCAGTCTGTCATCTCATCTCACCTCACAGGTGAAGGTGTCCTTCTTTAATTAACCCCTTTCTTAGACAAGCTGTTCAACAACTTGAATCCTCTCTGTTTATTCGTATAATTTTAAATTCTATTATATCCTGAGATGAAGAAACCAAAATTGTGCATATTGTATTGAAGAGGGAGCTATGCTTCTCTTCTCTCTTTCCCTCTCCTTTCCTAATAATACCTAATATTCTCACTGCTGATATTGCCCATTGCTTGGCACCAAGCTTACCCTTTCACAGAACTGTATCAATAGCTTCAAAATCTCCTTTCTAAGTGCTAACAGCACTATCATACGTGATGATGTGCAGTAAGGACTGCATTTTCCTCACATTCACTGCTTTGCATTTGTCAGCCTCCCATTTCACCTGCCACTTTATTGTCTGAATGCACTTTGCACAGTATTACAAGGAAAATTATATGCTCTGTATCACAAAGCACTATTGAGAACTACATCTTGAATTGTTGATAGAGAAATAATAATGGGAACAGCAAGGAAGTAATTTTCATTTTTCAATTCTTGTGTCAACTGCAGGTAGATAACAATTCTTACCTGATATTTTAACTGGACTTTGAAAGCTTGGCTGAATTTTATGGACATTGTCATTTTTTAGAACTTGGTCCAAAGGAGATCTCTCAAAGAACGTGAGGACAACTTCAGATCTTGAGTACTTAAAAAGAGAGAAATAAAAACAGACATCCATTTTTAACCAGTAGTTTGCTTTGTCCCTCTTCTTCATTTCCACCCCTTCATAGTATGACAAAAAGACTTATAATAAGTGACAGCTTGGAGGCATCATTACACAGTTCTGGCACTCAGCATTCCTCCAAGTTACTCAATAAATTGCTGCTTCTTTCAGAGTTTGGCAAAGCCCATCACATTCTAATCTGCATGAGAGTGCATGTCACCATGAAGGAGGAGTCAAGCTGGGCTAAATTGGAACTTGGCTTACACACCTTCCAGGGCATGTTTATAATAGTCTTCAGAAGCTTTTCCACTTCATTAAGTCTGGCTTCTATATCATGGGCTTCTTTTATTGTGATGAGCCCTAGAAACAAAGTAAACAGATCATAAGCATAAACAAAAGCTGGCACACTTTAGCAGCCAGAGGCAGCCCCTCAGGAAGATGTGGAACAACCTCAAATATGCCTTCCAAAAATGTATTTTAAACCAACTGATGATAAAGCATGCACCCCAAACTGAGGTGGGTGTAGTTTACAAGCAGAGTTGCAAGCCTGACACAAACGCAGCTGTTTATGACCATATGTAGGAATTGCAAGACAAGCAGAAGTAGAACCACCTACTCCCTCACCCACAGTTTCACTACACAGCATTCCCAGCAGTGATAGTTAAACAGCCCACTTTCTGCTTCCAAGAACCATTATTCATCCTTTTTTCTGTAAATAAAAAGTAAAAGAAAACCCAAGAAAACCAAAAGACACATCCTACAGATAAGACAGAAAAAAATAAACAGCAAGCTAAACAAAAGGCTTTGAGAGCAGTTTTGTATTTCTCTGACTGTAAGCCCCAGTGAGTGGCCCAAGGAAAATTTGTCAGTATCATCTTTTTCAAGTGCAAGATAACTGTTAGGACTTTTTTTTCATCTATTCAGTCACTGAATTATCACAGTGCTGCAGAAGGGATTAAGACCAAAACTTCACTGCCCAATATCCTGAATGAAGCATTTCAATGCAATATGGAATTGCTTGGTATGGTGATCTCAAACACCGATACTGTATTTTGCATGTATAACCTGCAGGACATCTCTAACTTTCCCCTCCTCCTGCAGACTGAAGGAAATACAGCACAGGCTGGATGCATGTATGGGGCATATGAGGAGAATTAAATCCCAAAATCTCACATCCCTCTAGTGAGCCTTTTATTGCTGATATTTGCAACCTACTTTTTCTAATCAAATCACCATTTAATGTCTACATTTGTGCATCTTTTCTAAGCAGCAGGATGTACCCATGAAAATGAAATCTTTAAGAGAAATTATTAAATATAAGAAGCCACAATAAACAAACAAACAAAAAACTGAACAAAAAGCTGGAACAGGAAAAGACAATCAGTTAGAAATCATCAAAATAAAAAAATCTGCAAAGCAGTCTGTGAGAAAGCACTTTGATATACTACATTGTGTTAAAGTAAGTGTATCTGCATCTTCCTATTCAAAAGACAAACACTGAGCCATCAAACACGCAGAGTGTGGAAACAGCTTCCACAAACAGTTTCAGTCTGCACCAGTCCTTGTTCTTTGCTACCAACGAGATACAATCCCACAAAAACTTTCCAGACAAAAGTGTGACTTGGAAGCTGTCAGCTCTCCTCCAGTTACAGCTCTAAATAAAACAGAGATTGTCTCCAAAGCAACCAGGTTTACTTGACAGTTGTCCCACAAAAGTCCCCTGTTTGTATAAGCCTTTCTCTTGCTCGAGAGTGCTTCGTTTTGCCTGTTTTTCAGCATGGCTATCCCCTCACCCAGGTACAACTCGCCCCCTCTCCTGACAGCAGAGCAAGGCACACCAGCAAGCATATAAGGGAGGTGCTGTGTGTCTTGCTTTGGCTGGTGTACACTACAGTTGGGTAGCTTTGCTTGGAAATTCTCTGAAAGGCTGTAAATGTGAATAAACTCATCTGCATGGGTCCACAGACTGCATAGTCGCTGGGCTGTGCTGGACATTACAGACCTGAATTGCATTCCAGCACCCTTCATCATCCTAACTATGGGGTGCAGGCTGGGTGGATTTGCTTGGCCACTCCACAAATAGTTCCCATCCCACATTTGGATTGAACTCAAATTTTTCAATGAAAGGGCTGTCATTTTCCCTAAAAGAAAGAAGAAGCTGCCAATGGCCCCACAGCTCAGACACCCATCCATGATATTAGCAACACACTGCTGGCCATGCTGCAGTCCACATCAAAAACACAGAGAAAACAGAGCCAGCCACCCTGGTGCCAGCTGCCATGGGGTGCTGCTCCACTTCTCCTGCTGGTCTTGATCCATTCTGCATAAACACTGATACAGCCAGAGCAGAGACTGCCCAGCTGTGGCTCCCACCTCACTGCTGATCCACCAGAGATTCAGCTTTCAGCTGCTCCCTCCCAAATCTGCCCTTGATCTCGGACCATTTCCCAGATAAGCATGCACTGTTGGAACTAGTATTTTACCAGGAAGACGGACACTTTTAAACAAATGAAGATATTCAGTCTGGGAGGGGGAGAAAAAGAAAAAAAACAAAACCACCTCAGCAACAACCCTGAGCATTCATCCCATGAGGAAAAGCAGCCAAGCGGTCAGGACTTCTCTCATTAGTAATCAGGGAAAGCATCTGCAGCTCCACATGGTCTTTTTATGCTTCACCAAGAAGTCAGACAAGGCTGTCAGCCTGTTGCACTGTCACAGATCGCCCCATGGGAGGTTTTACAGCTTCTTGCATTCACAAGGAATTTCCAGCTCTGGTATATTATCTCCTTCCACCTCTTGGAAAGACATCAGCCATGCAAATCCACACTCCAACCTGGAAACTGGCACAGAAAACTTGTAACATCTGACACCATAGAAGTGTTTCTTACTGAAGCTTTCAGTAATATCAAAACCAAAAAGCAGACAGCGTAGGAAGGAGGGTGAGACATCTGCCTGGGCAGCTTCCTATATATGTGCTCAGTGATTGCAGATGTGCAGCTTTGGGATGTAAGGCTGCTGACCTTAAATGAATTCCCCATACAGGGAGCTCAGTTTGGCCAGGCTAAAGCCTTTATTTTCATACATCTGCAACCCAAACAAACAGAAACCACTTGACTGGCTTCATATACATATATTTAGGCCTGTAATTTCTTCTGCAATTGTCATGAAGTTTGTAAGGCCCTCATTTATCTTAATTCTACAAGTCTTGGTTTTTAAAAGGTAAGAGATGCTCTTGTGGTTTTCAGTTAGTCATAGACCATGATCCCACAACCTCAGAGACTGCTCCCAACCACACAGCCACGCTGACCAGAGTGAGGCACTGCCTGCCCAAGCAGCCAGGAGGAGTGGAGGTCCTGGTCCTTCCTTTCCATCCCTTTCAGAACTCTCTAACTGGCTGCTGTCATATCCACAGCACCCACATGCATGAGGAACACTGGGGTTTCACAAGGTAAAGTCTCTGGTGTCAACACTAGCTTAAGGTGCTCCCACCCTCCCCTGCACCTCATTTCCTCTCCCACACCACAACACAGAGCTGTTTCTGCTTTGCCAGCACAATTAGGTGAGCAGCACAGAATACCTCAAGCCACTCCTGTCAGAGGCTTCACCTCAGGAAACCCCAGACTCCACAGAAGAAGCAAGAGACTGCAGGCGAGGATGCCCCATCCAAGCTCCTTTCTCACCCAGGCACTATATTAAGTTTGAGCAAGAGCCAGAATTTGTGTAAAAAAGGGCCACAGAACCTCACCCAATTTTCCAGGCCTATCCTTCACTTTGTGGGGGTTTCTCCTTTGCCTGTCTTCTTTTTCCTGTTTGGAAGATTTGTCAAGGCAGAAAGAAAGAGGAAAAAAATGCCAGAGACTGATGTAGGATCTCCAGACACTGGAAACGCCTGAACAAACAGACACACAGACATGCCAGCTGACACTGCAGACAGAGCCCAGCACCCCCACCATTCATTAACCCTGACACAAATGCACCAAAATGTGGATGCATCTGAAGTGTGTGGGACCCCCATGCCACATATGAAGCACCCATACCAGCAGCTACAACATGTCCCGAGGCTATTGTCTCTGCCCATGGGCCATGAACACATGTCTAGCCTGTATTTCCATCTGGGAAATAGAATTTACTACCCAAGAACCCTTACTCTGTTTGATATAAAATAAAAATAAGATACCAGTAAAGCAGCCAGTATCTTGGAACCAGTTGTGCTTTCTTCACTTGTTCAGTCATGCAACAGAGCTGAACTCAGAGCTGGGAAATTGGTTAGTGAGGTCATGGTGAAAGGCTGTTCTCATGCCTTTTTCTCAGCTCTGGCCCTTGTCTGGACTGCTAATGGAAAACATGCACAAACTCCTCCCAGGAAAACTTTGCTGTCTTGTTACCTACACTGTACTTGGACAATTACCTGTTATTCCAAGTAATTTAAATGCTATAAATGCCTATGTTTATAGGGTTTGACATAAACTGGGGTCCTGCTGTCTCCTTTTTTTTTGCCACAAACCCTGCTGCCAAATAGCCCAAACTTGTAAGATTCCTTCACCCTGCACACAGGGGAGCCAAAGGCTGGGTGACAGGAGGGATGACACTGCCTAACCCAGTGTGGCACTCACCTGTGCCTGGGAGACTGCTTTATTTTTATTACATAATCAGTGACCTCATTCAATCCTTTTGACATTTTTTCTGCACCTTTCGAGACCAAGAGCCCCGGGCAGAATCCTTAAAACTGAAAAGGATTTGCTTTCTGTTTTAGACCAAGCGTATGTAACAACTCTGCACAGAGCAACATGTGTCTGGAAAAGTATGGCACAAGCAGCAGCAGAAGCCTGCAGCTTTGCTCCTCTCCTGGCTCCCTGGTGCTGGGGCAGCTGCAGGAGGCTGGGAGAGCAGGCCAGCAGCTGTGTACCTGGCACGCTGGCTCACAGCGTGGGAGAGGGGCCCAGAGCTGCACACAGGCAGGAAACGAGCTCAGCAGCAGGGGAGAATGCACAGAGAGCCAACTCCTGATGTGAACACACAAGCCTTGGTAGGGCTGTCTTATTACTGCTGTGAGCCACCAAATCAGCAGCTAATGACATTCTGAAAACCACAGATAATGCACCCCATGTTTGTACCACAGGAAGCAGGACAGGAATTGCAGCATGTGCTTCATGGCTCATAATGAAATCACAGAGCAGTCCTGACAGTCAGCATACACAATGAGCATTGTCTCAAAAATCCTCTAGTGCTCTCCAAGGAAGAGTGAGTTCATGCCCAAGTCAAGTATGTATCTGTAATATCATGTCAATGACAACACACAGAAGTCTGTTTCTCTGGAGAAGTACAAGTCACTATGTATACGTGATACCAAACTGTGGGCAAACCCCATCTTTTCAGTCTGAAGGACTACACCTCATGTTTTTGGTCAGTACAGGAGTAAAGAATGTCCAAAAGATACCCTATTTTCTCAAAATCAGTTCTATACATACAGGAAGCTGAACAAGAAGCCAAGGTGTACTTCCTAAGATACATGCAAGATAGAATGCCAATAGTCCTAAATGCTGTGTGTTTCATGAAGATTAAAGTTGCATTGAACCTCTCTCATCTAATTGTCTTTCCACTCCATATAGGGAGACTGCAGAGTAGGTATCAAAGGGAAAAAATGAGTAACAACTAAATCCAGAGAGAAACCCTACTGTGTTCTGCTAATCTACACTGCAAGAAAGCTTTGAGGCTTATAGATTTAAATCATGAGTCCATTCTTCTCTCTTTGCACAAGACTCCAAGCAGCAGTTAGGGATTTCAGATCTTTAGGGAAAACATATAAGCTGCCCTGCATGGGAGACTGCTACTTTGCTGTCTCTCCTGACCAGACTTCAAAGGGAGATGTGCCCCTTTTCCCCAGTCACAGCATTCATTACCACTGCAGTGCTAAAACTTTTTTATCCTTTTCCCTCATTCCTCCTTTCCCTTACATATGTTCTAAGCCTTGTGCACACACACAGTCCAGGATGCAGGTAGATGGAGCAATAGAACGAAGGTCCTAGTCATTAGAGAATAATGTTAAATTAAAGAGTCTAATTTGTTTCATCCAAAGTAGGGCCAGGTCCAAAGTCTGATCAGGCTGTTAGGGACCACATCTAGACAACTTCTGAACAGACCCTACGACAGATATTCCACAGAAATATGCAGAAACTGAAGCTAATCAGCTGGCACATGGATCAGGGCTGAAACATGACAGACAATTCAGCCCCATTTTTTCTGCTGTTTTGCTTCTTTGCACTGCTTCCTGTCTGCTTAACTGGGTCTTCTCAACACCATTTCAGCTGTCATTTTCTCCTGCTTCATGGCCACCATACCTCACTCCTCCTAGCAGCTGCCAGGTAGGATCCCTCCTCACCCCAAACACTGTTCCCTCAACCTTGCCACCTGGGAACTATGGAATTAGCCACCTCTGGCTGGATTCTGAAAAGGCCAAACCAGCTCCCATTAACGGCTGCCTCCTCTCTGATGAAGGAAAGAAGGATAAAAGATTGCTAGAAGGGCAAAGGAATACTCAGGGGTATGTAAAGGCAGGAAATGAAAAAAAAACC